TCCCAGGCCGCCCATGTCCATTGGTTTCTTCAGCGTCTCCATAATGCCCTGCGGCAGCACCAGATCAATGTCCGACATCTTGCGGAACTTCTTGTACACCATATAGGAGATGAGGCCCAGCACTAGGATGGCCAGCGATGCTTCGAACGTCTGGTACATGGCCTTCAAGCTGTGCATGTCCGGCGTGCAAATGTATCCGTACGTTCCCCACTCGGATCTGTGCAGGCGATAGCCGTTGGCATTGCCGCTGTATGTCTCAAAGGCAATACGCTCCTCCTCCCCGAGTCCGTCCAGGTGCATCTCGCAGCTCTTGGCGGACTCCCACGACACAGCTGCCCGTTCACTGCGACCTGTGTGTGGCAGCTGCTCTACATTGATGGCACGCACCGCCAGCTGCAGGGGATTGTGGCTGGTGCAGGGCGGTGTGGCCATCACATACGAACGATTCTGCCCGGAGAGTATGTAGCTGACCAGGCAGCTGTCATTATTGTCACGCAGCGAGATCTCGTAGTAGTCGACAAGTCCGGCTGGCTGACTCGGCGGCCTCCAGTCCAACCTGGAGCTCTGATCCTTGTTATTTGTCACCTGCAGCGCGGGCGGCGAAGGAACTGCAAAAGGGAAAAGAAAAGCAACACAAAGAACTCGGTTAAAGCAACTGCAGAATCCACTCCTCGTCTTTCTTTACTCACCTCCAATGGACGTGCGAAAGCTGATGACATTGCTGGGCTCCGATTGGTACAATGTTCTCGCCCGGATGCTCACCTCGTAGTCGGTGAAGGCGGTGAGGTTGCCCAGCTCGAAGGAGATGAGCTTCTCCTTGTCCACCAGCTCGTCGGCCGAGGCCGGCAGCTTGAAGTAGTCCGTTGTGTTGTCGTGCCGGAAGATGCCCTCGTAGGCACGCACCACGCCGTTTGCCTTCAGTGGGGGCTTCCAGGCCAGTTGGGCACTCGAATTGCTGACGTTGTGTAGCTGCAGTTCACGCGGCTGGCTAGGTGCTGCCTCTCCGGTGCGCTTGATCAGCTCGTCACTGTATTTGCTGGCTCGCGTTTCGGACTTCATCAGCATCTTGACGCTGTAGTCCGTGTAGGGCACTAGATCGCGGATCACATACTGCTTGGCATCCCGATCCTCGATCGCCTCCGTCGTGCAGTTGTCCGGCTTGCCGGCCGATCTCTGGCAGTAGGTGAGATTGTAGCCGGTTAGAATTACAGGGCAGACGCGCTCTGTGCTCCATTTGACCGTCAGGGTTGAGTTGCTCGACGCATCGATGGTTGGCTCCATCTTGGCCAGATCGTCCTTCTTGTCGCTGCTGCAGATCAGCCACCGCATGCCAGTGTTGTGGCGGCGATAGTTGGCCGACACCGCCATGTGAAGGGACGCCGGCTGGTCAGGTGTTGTCGTGAATTGCCGCTGTCTACTGTCCACCTTCTCGAAGTGTATGGGACCTTCGCATTCGGACTGTAGGGCCGGCTTTGCCACGCACCAGAACACGGTGTAGTTCGTCAGCTCGAACACATCCAGTGGCGACTCCCAGCTGACCGTGTAGCTCTTGTTGTTCGGATGATACACGCTCCGAATGTTCTTGGGCACGCGCTCGTTGATGTCCGCATTGCTGATGGGGCCGATCGACATTCGGGTGGCGTTCACCGAGGCATTCACGCTGTTGCTGCTCCGTATGAGGATGTCGTGGTAGGCATTATTGTTCCAGTGCTCAATTAGGGCTGAATTTGACTCCACTTTAATCACCGAAGGATCGCTATAAAGAAAGTTGAAAGCCATTAGCACTAATTCAAATTTAAATTGACTTTGTATTCCCTCCTGATAAAACGAAGTTTACCCACACTGGAAATGTCCTATAGCTGCATCGATAGCTATCGATAGCAACAAATACTCTTCCCCCTTTGATCGCGGTTTCTTGATAAAAAGACAGCATGTCGAAGGACCCCTTTTTAAACCCAAAACGGATTTATTAACAATCCTAGTCCTAAGCCTGGGCCAAGGACTAGGGCACCTTCTTAAATATGTTTTCTTTGAAATCTTTGCCTCTGGCACAAGGCAACTTTGTATGTTGGCTTGTTTTGAAATGAGAATTCCAGGAACATTGGATTCGTTGGAAAAATCTTCAATTTTGATGCCAGCCAGCCAGCCACCAGCAGTGCAGCCCCACACGTTCCACGAATCGGCACACGCACAACACGAGGAGGAGGCCGTCGCCGTCGCCGTCGCCGCCAGGCCTCGCAATGTATATTAATTAGCATTCATCAATGGCGCTATGATGATGATAGCGACATTTACTACGAACTCGTATCGATATGAAATGGCACTCATACTACCATACAACGCGACGACGCTATCTGTTTCTGTGCCTTCCCGCATCTGTATCTTTGTTAGCGACCGCTCCCTCCCCGACTTCCAGAAAATCAAGTGTAAGCTGAACCGAACCGGAGAGAGATACCGCGAAAAATGGCACTGAAGCAATAAAGCTCTTCAACAATTTCTGTGTAAACAAACAAATATACTGGCATGTATGTGCATACATATGTACAAGAGTTGTGTGGAATTCTGATGATTTGTTTCCTCCTATTTCTGTTTTGAGGCATTCCTGTTAAGAAACACAACAACAACAAAAAAGCATCTCTCGTCTTTACTCCATATTCTCCTTCACCCACTCTTTACTCTGCCGCCTCCTCGCACCGCACACTCTTCTTTCCCATAAATGAACGTGTTTTTTTCGCGTTTACCATCACTATTGAGTGTGTGTGTGTGCCTGCCTGTATCGCTCTGCAAGTGTGTGTGTGTGTATCTCTGTGTGTAGCACTTTCAACGAAATTTTAAAAATAAACATTTTCTCTAGAATTGCTACACTGGTACCACCATCATACGTACAATCGCATGTAGCATGTATGGACCTCTAGCCTCTGATGAAGGTGTTTCTTTTGTTTTTTTTTTGTTTTTCTGGCCGACTATTCACTTTTGTAATAAATTGTGGAATCGCGAAACTGCTCCCCTGCCCAGCCCCTTACAGCTACGATCTAATCAGATATGGGTGACAATTTGATTGATTTATGCATGATTCATGATAGTGTGTACTCACACGAGGCTCCCATTCACACGATACTCGCTGATAATGTACTTGAAGCCATCACCATTTAGCTCGTGCGGTGCAAGGGGCTCCCAGTAGAAGCGCATCATTGTCTCGGACGAGTAGACGTAGAAGCTGCCATCGGTGACGCGGGGTGGGCGACGGGGTCGCTCTGGCCCGGTGACAAAATTGTAGACCAGCGGCTCGCTCCACATGGTGTTGTTTTGGTTGCCGCGCACGCGCAGCCGCAGCGTATATTCGTAGCCGGCAAAGGGCAGTTCGGTGAGGCACAGGGTGTCCTTGATGGAGGAGGAATTGTTGCGCCAGTTGTTTCGCTTTAGGGGGTCAAAATTGGCGGGCGTCACAAGCACCTGCCAGGTAAGGCCGCGTGGATAGTTAGTGCGCCGTGGCATCTCCCAGGACAGACAGATGGAGCTCTCGGTGCGATTCACCACCGTCAGGTTCTGGCCGGGACGCGACGGTATTGTCCGCTCGAAATGATTCACCTCGATGATCTGTTTCTCCTGGCCCAGGCTGTTCCTGATATCCAAGTGGAAGTAGTACAGTTTGGTGAACTTCTGGTAGGGATCGTCGGTGATGTTGCAGGTGACCACCGGAGCGGCATCAAAGTTACAGTCCACTGGGTACGAGTAGCGGGCGTCCTTCTGGCTGACGGTGAAGCTGACATTGTACTTGGTGATGATCTTGTTCTGCGGCTTCGTGAAGTTGCACAGCATGTAGTTAAAGTCGTAGCCCACGCAGCTAAAGTCCTTGATCAGCAGGGGCCGCTTGCCCACGTACACCTTCGATGTGTTAATCACGTAAATGTCGCACATGCACCGGTACTCATCCTCCTGTTCTACGGCGTCGCGGGCGCTGAAGAGGATTGTCGTGTTGTTCACAATGCGAATGTCCGGCATTGCGCGGTACTCTTGCAGCTTGCTCTTGAAGTACAGCTGGTCCACCGTGCACGATTCGGCAGTGTTTGCCTCCCGGAAGTAGGTCTCGTTGATGGTGCAGCTGATGTTGAAGTCGGAGCCGATTAACTGCTCGACCTTGTCGGGATAGAGCCAGCCAGGCTCCACGGTGGCAACCGCCTGCTGGCAGCAGACGGCCGCGAGCAGGGCCAGCAGTTCGAGGACCTGCTGCATAATGGACCGACTCGAGTGCATTTGGTAGATGGATTTCCCCTGCTATAAGCAGCGATTCGGGTTTTTGTTTGGAATGGGCCAACAACCCACCAACACTAGCGCACCAGCACTGACACCGACACCGCGACACAGGCACTGACACTCACACTCACACACACACGCGCTCGCGAAGCGAGTGGCCCTCCTCTCACACACACCTTTCTGGCACTGGTAGGGGCACTTGTTGGCTTTGTATTGGTGTGTGGTTCTCGGAAACGTTTATATGATGAGAATTCCTGGAAAGGCCTTTATGGCATTTCGATTTGGCCTTTCCACCAATCTGTTGAACCGTTTATCTACTTGCACGATTGAATCAGTTATGAGTTAATTTCTCCAATATAGGCTAAACTCTAAATTATTGTTTGTTGCACTGGTTACGAAAAAAACGGTACACAAAGATCTCTCCCCTGCTCGTTTGCTGCCTTTTTTTTTGGCCTGGTAGGCACTTGCATATCGAGAATCGATACACGATAAGCAAGTAAAGCAACACTCAGGTGTCAACGGTCACACTGTACATACCTGAAGAATTTATTCCTGAATGCGATGTTGAAATCAATTAAATGGGACTTCAATAAAAAAATTATTTGTTCGTCTACCAAGCACAGGTTAAATAAATCGCTTAAAAAATTATTCGTGTCGAAAATTTTAAATAGTTTATTTTATCGATGTATCGATACACAGATGATACACTATCGACAGCCCTGGCGTGTATGACTGACATTTCAGTGAAACTGTGTGTGTGCGTGTTTGCCTGTGTAAGAAAGTGACGAATTACTTTTCATCAAATGGAAAATAATTTACTTTGAAAACACGTATAAATTTTTCACATCGTCTGAAATTAGTGGTCACTACTAGAATCTAATTTCGTAATCTAACTCAGTGCCACTACGCATTAAAAACGCTAACAATTAGCCTACCACACAAGCGAAATGGCGGAAGGCGGCAGTAAACGTATCAACGTGGTTGTAAAAACGCCAAAGGACAAGAAAACTGTTGAGGTTGATGAAGATTCTGGAATAAAAGATGTGAGTAAACGACACGACACCTTGTGACACAACCGAGCATGTGAATCGGTGGATAGCTATGTGCGCTACCCTCACGCCACCGCCATGCCACCACAATTTAACCCAAAGTACAGTGCATTTTTTCAAAGTGACTCGAAACGACGAAAAAAAAGGGTGGCAAAGTGCAAATTAAATGTCTTTTTGCTTCCCCTACGTGTGTTTCCTTGTGTGTGTGTGTTTGTTCGACTGCGAGTGCGTGTGAATTAAAAGCAGCTCGTGCTGCTGCTCTGTTATCGCAAGTGTTTGTCCGAGACCTGTCCCAGACCTTGAGGATCTCCTCGAGGAAATCTTCTGGTAGATCTTCAGCGGCGTCCTAATTCTATATCTCTTGCTCTTTCGTGTTTTTCAGTTCAAGGTTCTCGTTGCACAAAAGTTTGAGGCCGAGCCGGAGCAATTGGTGCTGATTTTTGCTGGTAAAATCATGAAGGACACTGACACGCTCAAGATGCACAACATCAAGGATCAGCTGACGGTGCATCTGGTGATAAAGTCGGTGACGCGCAACAACGAAGCACCGGCCCGTGCGCCCGCCGATGTGCGTCAGACGCCCTTCGGCCTGAATCAGTTTGGTGGCTTGGCCGGAATGGAGGCTCTGGGTGCCGGATCAAACACCTTTATGGATCTGCAGGCCCGCATGCAGAACGAGCTGCTCAACAACGGTGACATGCTGCGCTCCCTGATGGACAATCCTTTAGTCCAGCAGATGATGAACAATCCGGACACCATGCGCCAATTGATTACCTCGAATCCGCAGATGCAGGACCTGATGCAGCGCAATCCCGAGATTACGCACATGCTCAACAATCCCGATCTGTTGCGCCAGACCATGGAGCTGGCCCGCAACCCTTCTATGCTGCAGGAGCTGATGCGCTCCCACGACCGGGCCATGTCCAATCTGGAGTCGGTGCCTGGCGGCTACAGTGCCTTGCAGCGTATCTATCGTGATATCCAGGAGCCCATGATGAATGCCGCCACAGAGTCATTCGGGCGCAATCCCTTTGCTGGGCTCGTCGAGGGCGGCGGCGGTGGCAGCGGCGGCGGAGTGGCTGGCGTCAATCCCCAGCAGGGTACCGAGAACCGCAATCCACTGCCCAATCCATGGGGTGGTAGCGGCGGCGGAACAGCTTCCGGCAACGGCACCAACTCCTCTACAAATGGTCCCACCGGCCAGGCAAATCGCACTGGGGACCAGCCCCCGAACAACGTACTCAATACGCCGGCCATGCGAAGCCTGCTTCAACAGATGGCTGACAACCCGACCATGATGCAGAACCTACTGAATGCGCCGTACACACGCTCCATGATGGACTCGATGTCGCAGGATCCGGACATGGCTTCGCGCCTCCTAAGCAGCAGTCCCCTTCTCTCGAACAATCCCGCCCTGCAGGAGCAGGTGCGCCAGATGATGCCCCAGTTCATGGCACAGATGCAGAATCCCGAAGTGATGAATATGCTGACCAATCCCGATGCCATGAATGCCATTCTACAGATCCAGCAGGGCATGGAGCAGCTGCGCAGTGCCGCCCCCGGACTGGTCGGCACCATGGGCATTCCGCCGCCACCACCCGGCATCAATACGGACCCGGCCAGCGGCGATGGTGGCCTCAACAGCCGTACTGCCCCCACCAACACGAACAACAGCAGCGTACCAAATGCTGGCAACAACAGCGTTAATGCACCAGCTCCCGCTCTCGCACCGGGCGGAGGCCCTAATGCCCAGCTCTTCAACGATTTCATGACGCGCATGCTGAACGGCATGTCCACCAATGCGGACTCCTCGCAGCCACCAGAGGTGCGCTATCAATCGCAGCTGGAGCAGCTGGCGGCCATGGGTTTTGGCAACCGTGAGGCCAACTTGCAGGGTAAGAAGCAATCGAAGCATAAATATGCTTATAATCATTCCTTTAATTAAACCATTCCTTTTTGTGTGTTTAAACAGCTCTGATTGCCACTTTTGGGGACATTAATGCGGCGGTGGAGCGTCTACTGGCTGTGAATCAGCTGTCTCTGAGTTAACATCGCTAAACCACATCCCAACAACAACAAAGAAACACACAACAAAAATAACAACAAAAACAACCTTCAACATTGTATACAACCTGTCTATATATCTACGCACTACAACAATACCTAGACACCTATAGCCAGCCGCCCCGGAGACGGAAACTATGTGAGAGGGAGAGCAAGAACAGGAACACGAGCGAGAGAGATAGAGTGTGAGGAATGTATAAAAAGAGCTAGAAGAAGAGCCCAAAGAAGGAGAAGGAAACAGGGACACACAGACACAGACTGGAACACACACAAAATCAACAATAATACTAACTACATACATGTATAAGCCACTGGATTAGCTAAGTTCGGTTAGCATTTTCATACACTCCACCACCTGACTGGTAGAAATTACCTTCAATTAGAATCCGTATGGAGTGGAGAGACAGAGAGACGAGCATATAGGTATATACACGTTTTGTTTGTCCCCACTACACCCCCCCTGCCGGACGACCCGGTCCAGCCTGTGTTCCTTTCTCCTCTCTGTATACATTTCCTCCATCACATTTTGGTAGATATATAAGCGTATGTATTGCCTGTATACATATATAAAGATGTATGGTTCATATCTATCACACAAAATATTCCAATGGTGTTAACAAAAAGACGTAAAACAAAACAAAAAAAAACAACAACCAATTTGAAATTCTTTAGTAAAACAAACAAGCAAACACACACGAAAAACAAAAAAGAAAGAAAACCAAATCGACAACAAAATGTATTAATCTTTAATATTATTAGCCAACATATTTCGTTTGTAACTGTAACCGTAACTAACGGACTCTTTGTTTGCGTTCGGTCACCCTACGGGTGATCGGGTGAGGGTGAGAGTAAGGAAGAGCGAAAGTACGGGAGAGTATGTACTGTACTGATGTGTGTGTGTGTGTGTGTCATCACACATTCATATTTCCTTGGTTTCTCCTCATTTCCACTGCTTTTCGATCACAGCGATATTCCCTTTTTTTATACCCGGTACTCGAAGAGTAAATAGGGTATATTGTATTTGTGCACAAAGTATGTAACACACAGAAGGAAACGTTTCCGACCCCATAAAGTATGTATATTCTTGATCAGCATCAATAGCCGAGTCGATTGAACCATGTCTGTCTGTCTGTCCGTCCGTCTGTCCGTCCTGATGGGCGCCTAGTACTCAGAGACTATAAGAGCTAGAGCCACCAAATTTTGCATCCAGACTTCTGTATGCTCACACTGTTACAAGTGTATTTCAAAAATGAGCCCCGCCCCCCGAAAAAGCGAAAACCTCCCAAATCTACAATTTTGACCATATCTATCAGATCACCAAATTGGTATCCGATTGGATCATTATTATAGCCACACTGAAGAAATTCATTTGCAGTGGCTAAACCCACCACGTCCCGCAGCTTATATTTGTTTTCACATTCTCTCATTCACACTCTGCTTCGCGCAGACACGTCTCTGCCTCTAGGGATGGTGAACGAGCTAAAGGAGCGTGTTGGTGTGAGAAGTGTTGTAGATGTAAATGACAGATGAAGAAAAAATTTAAAATTTGACAAAACACCGCTAATGTGCAGATGTAGTACTGAGTGCCGGGTATAAAAGTTGTGACGCGTAAGAAGCGTCTCACACGTCCCTTCTCGTTTTCTTTGTTTTCCCACCCCTTTATGTTTATATATAAACTATAAAGTCTATTTGTATAATCTGTAAGTACTTTAACTATTACAAAATATCGCCACTCGCCGCCACTCCATCAACAGATTAGAGAGAGAGAGAGAGATAGAGATAGAGCGAGAGCGGGCCAAAGCGGCTATGCTACCCGCAGGTTGGGGGAGGGCCTGTCCAGCGCTTGGTCACTGGCGACACAGTGAAGTGACGGCGAGGTTGGTGGTTTTGGCGCAGGGAGGGAGATGATGGTGTGACAAAATGAAAGACGGAGCTATATATGTTTATTTGTTTAACGAGAAGGAAAATGAAACTAAGTAATATTATGTAAATGGTCACATGTTTTAAAACGATAATAAAGCTGCTTTGGTTTAGATTAGACCAAGAAATGGGAATCTCTGTTCGCATTTTTATTTGTTAAATGACAGAAAACAGCATAAGGCCCTAGCAATTGAGATAGAACAACCCCCTACGGATATTATAGCCAATAGGAGAAATCATCGATTCTTTCACGGCCATAAAAGCGCCTGGACTGGACGGAATATTCCCAGCCGTGCTGCAAGTGACCAAAGAGGCAATCACCCATAAGTCACTGACAGAAAACAGAGTTGCCTGACACCACCGTCGGAAGGCTGGTGCTGCCGGTGATGCCGCTCTCTTCTCTTCAATTCCGAAGCGTCACTGGAGCTGGAGCTACAGTGGTGGTGGTGCTTCTGCTACCCGTCGCACTTGAGCTTGGTGCTGCTGTCGAAGTCGGAGTCTGGCCAAAGAAGAAGGCGTTGCAGTTTGCTTCTGCAGCAAAACTGACGCTGGTGCAGGCGCAGCAGCAGCTCCAGCTGGAAGAGCAGCTGTACAGCTCTTGCCATTTATCCCCGTATGGGTATGGGCTCACCAAAGCTTTAGCTACCTTCTGATACGCCGCTAGTCAGCAAGCTGGATCTGACACTGTCACTGGCATTGGTTTTGGCTATAGTTTTAGATGTAGCTGTTGGTGCTGTTGCACCCACAAAGTTAACCGCAGGCATTGGAAATGCTGGTTGGGGCTTGGGATGCATCTGTAGGTCCATCGTTGCGTTGGCAGCCACGAAGAAGGTCTCTTGTGGTTTTCCATAAGGCCAGAAGCCTTACCTCTTTTCTACTTAAAACATTGGAAAAGCTATTGGACATATGAACAAAATAGGAACCAGGTAGGGGGACTGATGTCAACGAACCAGAAGGCTTACACCAAAGGGAAATTGGTGGAAACGGCACTGCTGCCATCGAGAAAGCCCATCCACAACAAAAAGTGTGCACTAGAAGTATTCGTAGATATATCCGGAGCATTCACAAGTGCAATTATGGAACGCCTAGAAGCGATCAACATATTCATTAAGAACCTCCGAAGTTGTAGACGGGTTCACTGGGGCTGGGGCTGGGGCTGGGGCGCCGCTTCCATGGTGAAGAGGGCACACGGAGGCATACTGCAAGGTGGAGTCCTGTGGAACCTGGTGGTCGACGACCTCATTAAGAGATTTGAGAGGTAGGTCCCAAAAATAACAGCCTATGTGGACGACATAAGCCTTCTTATTACGGGTGTATGTCCATCCACCCTCAGCTCCATAATGCAACTTACTCTCAAGGCGATACATATGTGAGTGGGCGGAAGAAGTAGGAGTCAGTATCGACGCGGATCAACATGGATGCCCCCGAAAGTCAGCCAAACCAGGCTTGCACCAAAAACACAGGTCAAATATCTGGACACAGCAAAATGGTATGGAAATGTGTTCAAAAGCAACCTGCTCAGCAGCACGTGGGTTCTGTCTCCCGTTCGAATGCACTGGAGCCACATCTCGGGGGTGCTACCAACTCTGTCGTACCATAAGCTAATGGAGAAAACTCAGCGACAGGTTCTCCTCTGCATCAGCAAATGCACTCGAAACTCTACTCGGAATAGACCCGCTGGACATCCACGCAAGGCTGATCGCAGGAATCTCAGCGCCTAATTGCATCGCGAAGCCTGACGACACAGCGCTACGGGCATAGTTCGATTGGCAGGTACATGGTCAGCCTTACCGATTTGATGACCCCCCAAACACAGACGGCTCCAAGCAGGCATATATTGTTCAAATTCTGAAATAAGGCTGTGATATGTATAAGCTACCGCACCGATTCAGTATATTTCAGGCGGAAGTTTTCGCTATTAAGAAATCAGCAGGGGCCGCTCAGCACATAGCAGGACCACACGATGCGGTCAACATATTCGTGGACAGCCAAGCGGCGATAAGATCCTTGCAATCGTCCTCTGTCAATTTCAGAGAAGATACGAACACCTGCAAAACCGCGAAAACCATGTGCAAAGAACGCAATGGTAAACTCAGCCACTTCCTACTGCGCCTACCGAGGAAGGACTGCAGATTACTGGTGGAAATCCTCACAGGCCACTGTCTGGCTGCGGCGCATGCAGCCAAACTAGGCATCACCAGCCGAGACAACTGCAGGAAATGCGTTGAGCGCGGGTTCATGGAAAGCCTGGAGCATCTCATCTGCATCTGTCCGGTCTTTGCACGAGCAGGAGGTAGATAACTAGGCGCCTGCTGGGTGCTGGCATCACTTGAAGATGCTTCCAAGAGGACGTCAGGGGAACTACTTGCATTTGCCAAGAACAACTCGATTCTCGAGGAACTAAGGGCCATACTGGCCTATGAGTGGCCCCACTGAAGGCCGTCCGGGTTAAGCAATCAGCAATCAGTTGGCAGCCACGTGGCGGCGATCCCAAGCAGCAGATTACTGTGATCAACAATAAATTTCAGGAGTTGACTGATGTAACAGCCTAAAAAATACTTACAATTTGCCAGGGTTGCCAGCAGCAATTCGATTCGAATAACATTAACACTACGAAGGGACTGCCAGGTTAAAAAAAAAAGTTGAAAATGGCGCCTTGACAGCCTACAAAAACGAATTCGCTAAGCTGCATACATTTATACACATAAATCTTGACGCGCACGAAATATTGATACCGAAGATGTCTGGTAAACTGCGCGTTTCGCTTACCTCAAAATTGTTGAAATACGCACGTGTCGATGTGCCTTTTTGCGCCGAGGATTTCGGCTTGGACCACGCATTCGATCTTATCAGCTACGCGGATCCGCAGTCCTTCTACCACGTGCTTGATGAGCCGTCTAGTCAATTCAAGCTACCACAGGCGGACACCGATGATTCGGCGGAGGAAAATCAGTTGCAGATGTGCAGGAGCGTGGAAGTCTACGCGGACGATGGCTGTGGTACAACTATCACGGCGCTTGCAGCAGGACAACTTCAGGTGCAGGTTGTCGGCAGGTTCTGTCCAGTGGTGAACGAGCCGTACATGATGGGCAGGATCGCCTGCGTCTCGCTGCTAAGCAGCCTGTACACCATGGGTGTCTCTGGACAATCGGTGCTCATGCAACTCACGATCAGCAGAAAGCTCACCGAATTGCAGCGCGATGTATTTTTGCCCCTAATGGTGCGTGGCTTCGAGGACTGCTGCAAGGAGGCTGACGTCAAGATATCTGGCCAACAGGTCGAGAGGTCACGCTGGCTGAGCATTGGCGGCGTTGCCTTAGGATTTTATGACACATCAAAAAAGTTCATTGTGCAGGAGCACGCCGTCCCTGGGGATGTTCTCGTACTGACCAAGCCTTTGGGCACCCATGAGGCAGTCAGTGCCTTCGGAAGACTTCAGGAACCCAAAACTAGGGCCAAAATATTGAGGCACATCTCCGAACAAGCTGTGGGCGAGGCCTACAGACAGGCGATCAAGTCGATGGGCCTACTGAACCGCGTGAACAGCTTCCTAATGAACATCTACAATGCCCACGCGGCCACCGCCATTGGCGAATATGGCTTCATGCAGCATGCCGAGGCCCTAGCGCGACGTCAGCAGGAGAACGTCTCCTTCTGCATAACAAATATCCCAGTTATCGCCGGAATGCAGCTCATATCCAAGAGACTGGTAAAAGGTCTCTCGCCCGAGATATCGGGCGGCCTGCTCATCTGCATGCCCCTGGAGCAGGCGCTCCCATTCATTGATCAGTTCAAGGAGGCGGTAGGCTACCAGCCATGGATCGTGGGCTCTGTTAAGTCGGGCAGAAAGACCGTCTACATTTCCAAAGATGCTCGCATCATTTCACAGTTTCCAGACAATTGCATCATTGAGCTCGATGAATAAATAAAAAAATATATACACAGTAAAATATTAATCCAAAACGCTGGTGTTTTCGTTTATGTACTTTTGGGGCCCAGCCCACGTGTTCTTGTGGCCTAGGTCTTGGGTCCTTGGTTGTGTTTTTATTTATTTATAACAGCAGCGGCTTGAGTATACAGTTGAACAATTTAGGAGTTCGAAATTATATCTAAATACAACACAAAACAACACTCAATCAAACAAGCTATCAATCAACACAAATTAAAAGCTTTTTGCAGCAATTTGGAAGCCCTTAATGTTAGAGAGAATTGTCTTGGACCGGTAAGAGGTCAGAGCTCCTCGAAGAAGGCCACACGCGCCTTGGTTGAGCCGGACTTGAGCTTCTTGAGCGTTGAGTATTTATTTTCACCGGCCTTTATCTGGGCCTCACTGAGTATATCGAGGTTGCTCTGGTTCTCTTCGATCTTGTGCGGCGCTATCTCGGAGCGCAGGGTCTGCAGCTGGTTCTGCACCTGCTTCTTGGACTTGCGCAGATACTCCAAGTGATTGCGCTCCATTTCGTTGGTTATCTGCTCCATCTCGTTGTCGGTGAGTATGAACTCCTTTGGCTCGAAATCGTCGGAGATGCCACTGGAGTTGTCCCCCTGCACCAGATAGTGTGATGCGGATGTGGTTAGCTCGGCACCGCCGGCCGTTTCCATATCATTGGTGGAGCTGCTCGTGGTCAGCGAGGGCGTACTGATTGCTGCTAGACTGGAGGATGTGTTGACCGCATTCGATACTGTGGAGGCGGTCAGCAGGCTGTCCGTTGAGGATTTGCGTCCACTGTTGAGGAAATGCAGCAGACGGGCGGTGGCCTCGCGCTCAGCCATCTTTGCACAGATGAGCTCCTTCTTGAGCTTCTCCGTCTCTGCCTCCCGCTTATCATTCTCCACCGTCAGCTGATGCACAAAGAAATCAGCGTCGCGTATCTTCTTCTCCAGGTCATGCTTCTCCCGCTCGATCTTCATCTGGCGCTCGCGCAGTCGATCCATTTCGGTCTTGAAGTGATTTGCCTTGCATTCAGTCAGCTGCATCTGCTCCTCGTTGACGCGACTCTTCTCAAAGTACAGCTCCTTTGTCTCCTCGGAACGGCGCTGGCAAAAACAATAAATTTATAGGACTGTGTGCTTTAAGAATGTTTCTTTTTCACTTACCAACGCATCGCTCGCCATGCGCATCTCATTCTGCAGATGCTCAAAGCTCTTCTCCAGCTCGTAGCGATCCTGTTCGGCCTTCTCGCGCAACTTCTTCTCCCTGATGAACTTCTTGCGCTCGATCTGTCTGCGTTGCTTCTCCTCCTTGGCCTGGGCCTTCATTTGCTGTATCTCCATGGTGTCTGGCTTGCGGCGACGCATATACAAATCATGATTGCCCTTGCACAGATCGAGTATCTGGTAGAAAGCATTAGCACTGTCGTCAGGGAAAAGTATCCATTAATTTACCATTTTGTTAATGTGCAGATCCACCGAATAAAATATAAAATTTGACACCTTGGCGTCCACCAGGCGAATGGTGAACTTTTTATCATCAAAGCTGACGTGTCGTATCTCATTCCATTGGAACGTTGTCTTTGGAGTTAGCTTGTCCCGCTCATCGTAGATGTTCAGTCCCACGGCCGTGACTCCTAGCCACAATTTGGTTTTGTTCTTATTCTGTGAAGTGAATTTATATGAAAAGTTAAACCCTTTTGTGCGTGGAGGAGAACTCACTGTAATAGGAAAATAGTTGACACCGTACATGTCCAGATCTTGGGCAATTTTCAGATACTCCATTTCGACCTCATCGCGCGTCATTGGCTCGTGATCCATGTACCTGTAAATGCAAAAAAAGAAAAGAAATTGATTAGCTTCCTGATTCTGCGTGTGCCTTGTGCATACTGACCAAGTTTTGATGCGCTCCTCCCACATTTCGGGCGTCATTTGGTACTGATCAGTCACACCCTTGGGCAGCAGTTCGCCACCGGCCAGCATGCCGTCCTTGTAGGTTTCGTAGTCGTACGGACCATACTGAACGTGGACCGCGTAGGAGGCCAGCAGGACAGAGGCCTCTGGCCGGCAATAGATGTCCATCGAGAGGATGCTCTGCTTGACTTGCAGGAAGAAGAGATGCTGTGTGATCTCCTGGATCAGTTCCTCGCTGACATTCTCCGGAAAGAATTTCGCATAGAAACTGAAAACGTAAATGTTGTTGTTGGCATGCAGCTCCACCCGCTGATCCTTGACCTTCTTGTCCATCTTAAGCCAGGAGACATTGTTGCGCGTGTCCACATACTGTAGGCCAAAGTACCACGACTCCCGCAGTCCGATGGTGCGGCAGACAAGATCGAATAGGTCTTGGCCAGAGGCACGCGGCTCCAGCTTGAACTCCAGCTCAGAGTCAAATGTGCTCACCCGCACAGGCAAGGAACGATTCTTCTTGGACCCGAACGGGCTCATTGCTTCAATGCCGATTATGTGATGATGATTATTATTATTATGATGTGTGTATGTATATACTCAAGAGTGTGTATGTATAGATGTGGCTGGGCTGTGTATCGATCGCTGTTTTGTGTGTCTCGGACTCGACTCGTATGGAGAACTTGTTGCGTTCTATTTCCGTCGTTGTTAGTGATTCGCCTCCTGGTTGCTGGTGTTGGCGATGCTACTCCTACGATCCTTTGTGGCACACCCTTCCACACATTTCCACACGGTCATGTTGCACGCAATTGGGTTGCATTTGCTGCTTTTGACTACAAACAAAAACAGAAAACAATTTCGTATTTCGTACACACTCAGCTGCTCACTTGCCTTGGAGGAGAGTGGACAAGCACACTCACTCACCAATAAATTAGTCGTAAATACTACTAATTGTATCTACTGAATAGTACAAGATCACACACAGATCGGGAGTCAAATTAGTCAAGTTAAATAACAAAAACAGAGAGCCTGCACTTTTCCTGATATATACTTGTGGGGTCTGATCAACGAAAAAATCTTGAAAAGCTCGTATTTTTATTCGCCCAATTCGCAAATCAACAACAATTCGCCCAATGTCCGACACACACACAGCTGTTTTAAATATTTACAGTAGTAAGCATTCTCCACTTTACAGAGCAGAGTTGCTTCTTGAAAAAAAGGTTTTTGTACATACAAGGGAACTACACATTTTCTACATATTAACTACATATGCTATTAGAAGCTCACTTTTTAGTCACCTGCGCTGGCAGTATTTTTTCGTAAAATAAAACTGTATGGGTTTTAGTATCAAGGAAAAAGCTAGAAATGAAATAATGATTTAGCTACATATATCATATTTTATATTTTATATTATATACATATTTTTAAATAGTTTAATTTGGTGCTGCTGCAGTTATCATGAAGCAGCGCTTCAAAGTTTTCAATATTTTCTACGCCATTTGGCTGTGAAAAATGCCAGAATTATCTTAAAACATAATAATTCGCAACACTGATGGCACATGCGAAACGAGTGTGACCAGATGTTTTGACTGTATATTTTTATTAGGGAAATACACACAATTTCACATAATCTTGTATTTGTATTAAATGTTTATAAATATAACACGATTTATTTGATTGCTTGATATATATTTAAATCCTATAAACGCTACGGTACGAGACGAACTATTTAATGTCAGTGCTGCAAAATGTTGGACGTCGCAAAACTTTTGCATGACACTGTCAAAGCGCCAAAATTTCAAAACTTTTCGACTTAATCAAATCTTAGTATATGTACTTGGTTACATCCTAATGAACTATCATACAAAATGTTCTTAGACTAAATGTGAACGAATGGAAAATTTAGATGTCTATCTTGTGTTAATGAAGCTCTTCTTGCCATTTTAGCTGACATATGTAGTGTTATATAAGCAATTGGGTCCCTAGGTCACTCCACACACAGAACAACATTAGTTTTAATAACTACCATAACAGTACGCATATAAAACGACACAAGTGCGGACTTGGCCATGTTATCTGAGCTTCGATTGGCACTCTTTTGTCTTGTATGAGATTAATTGATTCATTGATTGACTGACTGGTTGGTGTGTAAGAGAGGGTGTGCGTGTGTGAGCTTGCGTGCCATGGCAAGTGCAATATTCCCTGCATAGCGTACTTGAAAGCCGTTGTGTATCGGTTTGTTTAAAGTCTCAGAAAATATGCCAAAAGTCCATTCTAACCATTCTACCTATACATATGTACTTAGTCTACTGAGTGTTCCGCTTGACACGCTCGACATGCAAGTCATACAGCATTTTGTTCTTATCATAGTAATAGGGATTTTGGTCGCTACTTAGCTCAGGATTGTATCCATATCTGTCTCCATTTAGGATATCAATCGCATTGGCAGCATTAGGCACAGCCGCTCCAGCTCTAGCTGTTGGTGTGGTGGTGGCTGCGGCTGCAGATCCACCAGTGATCACAGGCACTGTATTGTAATTGTTGTAGTCATTTACTTGAGTCGGAATGCTGCAGCTGCTGCTGCTGCTGCTGTTCCCATCGTCGTAGTTTAAATGAAGATTGTTGATTCGCTTGGAGAGGGGCGCTGACTCGCATGGATCTTCTTCACGACTGCGTTTTCTAGGGCGGAAGGAACAGATGTTCAAATCAGATATGGGTATATTTATTTTTGTGCTTTCAGGCTCATACGAAACCAAACTGCGCACTCATTGGGTCGCAACCGTCTACTTAAGACTCGCTTAGACCGTGGATACCAGTCGCATTTGACTATCCACAGGATTAACTTGCACTTGCACTTGGCCAACACACCTACCTTGTCTTTAGAAAATCAGCCATTCCTTTCTATAGCCAGCAAATTAAGCTGGTCCCCCTATTGTTCTTTTCACGGGGCTGTTCTGGCAGTGTGGCCGCTTGTGCTTAAAATCAGTGCTGCATTGTTCCCGAAATGAAACGGTGAGATATTTAAAATAAATTCGCGAATCTAAAGTTTCTGTAGAAATTATACCTCAGCTATACTGTAAATTACTGAATTTGCATGAAAATAATCTGTTTTCATTAGAACACTCTGTCGTTTGATAAAAAAAACAGTACTCATTGTCTCATTTCGCGGTAACGATTTAATTAAAAAAAAACAGAATACTAGATCAAGTAAAATATACCAAATGTGCCGGGTCAGGTAGGAATATTCCAACATAGTTCTTTTGTTTTTTTGGCTGACTTTTTCAGTTTCATCCTTATTTTGTACACAATCTAACAAAAATAGGTCATGAAAACTAGCCAATCTTGTGGGAAATTAAATATTGAATCGAAAAGCAAAATCGAGAAAAATGATTTAAGATTTACGGTATATATACTGTATATAATTAAAATGAGAAGGTATATTTTGGTAGCGAGAGTCGTGCGGTATACTTTATCGATGAGTCCGCGGTCACACTGACTGTTTTCCGTACAAATTGAGCCCAACCCACTCCAAAAAAAGAAAAAGAAATAAAACGGAAGTACTAGCAGCCAGAATTACAATAAATTGTAAGTAAAGTCTGTGTGCCAAAGCAATTAACTATGCCCGGTAGCCAGGCTTCAAAACCCACAAAATTCCGATTAAAAAGAAAGGAGAAAATTCAGAAGTGAAAAGTGAACGAACACGAAACGTTATCGATGACTGCTTCTTGGCTGCTTCTATGGGCGTGCTTGCATGTGTGTGCTGTGTGTGTCGAGTAGAGTGTGTGTGTGTGTGAATGAGATGGTGTGTCTCAGTGACAAATGATTGGTTCCACATTTCATTCTATTCCCGTTTTTTTTCTGTGGATGCGTCAATGCGTTTTCAATTGGTTAATAGTGTGCTGGGCTTTCTATTAATTGTATATGGGAGCCAGTGCATGTTTATGTGTTTTTGGCAAAAAAAAAACAAGTTTACATGACGGGCAGCACACATGTGCAGATTTGCCTGTGTCTGTGTCCAAATAAATTAGCATAGTGCCCGCTCTTGTAACTGCAGTTGCAGGCGCTGCCGAAGTGGCTGCTGTTGGCGTACATATGTATTAAAAAAGCTGCATTTAAAAGCATTCATACACGCAACAACGCACACACATAGACAAACACCGAAGTTATGCGACTCTGCGCTATACGGGAGTTCGAGTGTGTGTGTGTTGGGTTTCACATTAGAATTTTGCTGCTGTCTGGGCTTATCTACATTGTATTTCGCTTTTCTGCTTTCTGCTCGTTTTGTTTGAGTCATCGGTGCTGGCGGGGCAGATACAATTCCTTCGCGCCCCGATAAGGCAGTAAGAGTCGCCGTTGACGCAGTAAACAGTTTTACCAGCGACTTGCGACTGGTGACGACTCTGATCCCACTATCCATTGAACGAGGGGCATAGTAAGCAGTAACATTAGCCCACCACACTCGCCTTGGTTCGGAGTCGCGTAAGTTGTTGCAGACAAGGACCGCATCCACGCCCTCACACACCCATGCCCTACGCTGCGCTAGCCCTAGCCGCTTTGGGGGAACAGGAGCGGAGTCTTTAACTTTTCCACTGGATCTTCGTTTCCGCTTTAAACGATTCCGAAGCTTGAGCCCTCTCCCCTGGCTGCTCAGAGTCTGCCCCGAATGGGCTCCCGTTCCGTCCCTGCATTGTGTGTGAAAGTAATTAAGACGAAGCACCCACCATACACACATCAGTAGCTGAGGCGTGAGTGTCGTTGTGTGGTGGTGTCTTTGTGTTCCAATAATTGAGCTGGCAATAGGGAAGGTGGTGAGCTGCAGCGGTTGAGCAAATTGTCACAGGTTTATTCGATATGAAAAACACTCGATTGTCCCCTCTCTCTTCCTACCGTTTTTTTAATCGCTTGCAATCATTTCTTTTGTTTTTGTTTCAGGAGTTTTCCACAAAATGCAAACCATCAAGTGTGTGGTCGTTGGCGACGGAGCTGTAGGTAAGACCTGCCTGCTCATCTCCTACACAACCAACAAATTTCCATCGGAATATGTGCCAACTGTCTTTGACAATTATGCGGTGACGGTTATGATTGGCGGCGAGCCCTACACACTGGGATTGTTCGATACGGCAGGCCAGGAGGATTATGATAGGCTCCGGCCATTGTCCTATCCACAGACAGATGTCTTTCTCGTATGCTTCTCGGTGGTCAGTCCCAGTTCATTTGAGAATGTTAAGGAGAAGGTAAGTTCGAACCACAATGGAATGCAATGACCTGCAGCACTCGTACTAACTGATAACCTCTGTAGTGGGTTCCTGAGATTACGCACCATTGCCAGAAGACGCCATTCCTGCTGGTGGGCACACAGATCGATTTGCGCGACGAGACCAGCACACTGGAGAAGCTGGCTAAGAACAAGCAGAAGCCCATAACAATGGAGCAGGGCGAGAAGCTGGCCAAAGAGCTGAAGGCCGTCAAATATGTCGAGTGTTCGGCTCTAACACAAAAGGGTCTGAAAAATGTCTTCGATGAGGCCATACTGGCCGCCCTGGAGCCACCAGAACCAACCAAGAAAAGGAAGTGCAAATTCTTATAATTCTTTTTTTTCCTCTCTCTCTCTCTCTCTCTCTCTTTCGCTCTTTCGTCCCATATATGTATGTCTTTGCTTTCGTTATTTATCCACATCACAGGGGATACCCTGCTCTACGTCCCTTCTTAAAGACAACTCCTTCCGAAGAAATTGTTTAAAGTTTTTATTTTAGAATTTCTACGAATTCTATTCTCTAGTACTTCGGATGGTTTCATTCATTCGCATTTTCGATTATTTTATTGGGTTGTTGGCTTAGTTTTAACAAACGGAAAGCTGCTGTTTTTATTTTATTATTTTGAAACTCCAGTCTGAAGAAAGATACTAATCTATTTTAACTATGGATAAAAGCTTCCGCGCCAGCCCCAGCAATGGAATCAAATATTAAATCAAAAATTGAATTCACCCGACCAGGGCAAGAGCCAGAAGTCTAGGCGGGTCGGGCACCACTCCTCATGCTCCATTTCTGCACCCACTAAAGTGCTTTTATTTCTCTAATTAAGTAAAGAAAGCAAAGATGATAAAACACAATAACAGTATAGCGAAACAAATTATTTATATATAACTTTATATATATACAACAACAAATCGTAAGTGAAAAAACGAAACAAAAAAAAAACCACACAAAACAAAATCCGAATGGAAAATACAAATAAAGTGAAATCAATCCAGAATAAAAAGAGTAAGGAGAGTAATTAAATGCAATTAACTTTTTGGCTATGCAAAAGCAATTTTCGAATCGAATCGAGTCAGTCCTAAGCTAAACAACAACAAAAATGCAGCTTAAAATATAAAAATAAAGTCAAATATGTTGATTAAAATGCAACAAGACGAAATACGATGACAAATGCGATGCGTATTGTGTACAACTAAGGTATATGAGTATTGAAATATATGATAAAAAGAAAGCAAAACACACACACATATAAATATATTTATATGTGGAGGAAACGAACACTGAGAACAGGGACAGCGACAGCAGAGAGACCAGACAGACCAGACGTACGACAGACAGTACAGTCATGCGGAACGTAACGTAACGGCACGGAACGGAAGGAGACACAACTGAAGTCTACAATCTATAAAAATATATATATATATACATATAGATATATTTAATAATATGTATAATCCATAAAGTATAACAATAAAAAAAAACAACAACAAACCAACCACAACAAAAGCTAGAGAGAATATTTGTATTGTTGTTCCAGCAGCAGCAGTAGCAGCAGCAGCCACAAACAAAAACAAAAACAGAACGAAAAATAAGAACTATAATGCATTTTTTAATATTTTTATATGTATACATTTTCAATTTTGACACAGTGTTTTTTTTCCTAGACCTTAGAGATGTAACATTATTGATTTCAGATAATAATCTTATAAATAAAACAAACGAAAAATTAAAAAAAAAAAACAAACAAACGAACATTTTTCTCTATGCATCGCTGGCTGTGCCTCTGAGGTGATCGAGTGGCCTTATCCACTTGCATTTGATGGCCAATCGGGTGACATCCTCTACGGAGGAGTCTCTGAACCCGGCCGCGCCCTGTATGTCAATGTTTTGGTAGTCAAATCGCATATTCTCTGCACTATTCGCCATTAGCTGTTCGATGCCGTGCCAGGCAATCATCACACCATTGTCAGAGCAGTAGCGCTTGAAGGGGCGATAGCTGCGGCAGTTGTACTGCCCGGCCAGATGCTCGATATTCCTATAGATCACATCGTTGTTGGCCACACCGCCGGAAACCACCAGAGTGGGCGAGGCGTCGCCAAATAGTCCGTTTGCCGGCTGCAGGCAGTACTCGAGTGCTCGCTGTGTGCGGTGCATGAGGTGGCGAGTGACGGCCTGCAGCAGGCCGGCACAGAAGTCACTGTAGTTGCTGATGATGCCGTCCGGTGGGGTATGCTCCAGCCTCTCCCTTGCCCGGATGGCACGGAATGAGTTGTTCTTAATACCCGCAAAGCTAAAGTTACAATTGCGCTGCTGGGCCAGCGGCAGGGGGAAGTCGTAGGCGTCTGGAAAGAGAGCCGATTGTGCGGCATGCTCTATGGCCTGACCACCATTCCAGGCTCTATACTGTGGCAGTACATACAAGCGCAGTCGTCGGGCAATCTTGTCGAAAGCCTCTCCGGGAGCATCGTCGAGCGTCTGGCCGAGCAGGGTTAGCTTACCGGGGCCGTGTACCATCGCCAGCTGGCAGTGGCCACCGCTTATAAGCAGGCAGAGAAATGGAAAGCTGATGGCCGATATGTGCTCCATGCGTGCCTGCAGTGCATGCGCCTCCATGTGATGTACCGGAAGCAATGGCTTTTGCAGCTTTCGGGCCAGGTGACGGGCAAACCGCAGCCCGACCAGAAGACTCAACGGCAGGCCGGGCCGGTTGGTCACAGCAATGGCCGTCAGCTGCTCCGGCCTGATGTCCGCCTCGACTAGACAACGTTTGTAGGCATCCTCAATGCGCGCCCGATGCAGGTCTTGAGCTCGTGGGGGAATTATGCCGCCATAGCTATAGAAAATAGGTGGGGGAATAAGTGAAGTGCAGTGTTTATGCCATGCCATGTCACTTACCGCGTGTGGAACTCCTGCTGGGAGTACAAAACATTTGAGTGCACCCGGCCGTCGGTGTCCACAATGGCAATGCCCGTGTCATCGCAGGAAGTTTCGATGCCCAGGACATAGCTGATGCGGCGCCTGTGGGTCAGCAGTCTTAACTGATTGGCGAATCTGAATCTGATCGTGGCGCTGGACAAATGATAAGCCATAACATAACGTAACGAAGGCGAAAAGCCGATAGATCATTTAATCGGGCATGCTGATAAGTGATAGTTTTACCGCCACATCTGGCAGCGCTGCGAATGGCAGTCTGGCAACCAATAGTCGGTAGTTACAGTTACATCTATCGGATTTATTATGTCTTGTTTTATTATTAAAAACTAAATAATAAATTATATTTGATTTTAATGTATCCATCTCCAGGTCCGCGTCTGGGAATTCATTTGTATTTTTGTTTTGTTTTGATTTTTTGGAGATGGATTAACGTATACCCACGCACAGATATACACACACATAATACATACACCAACACCCACACAGAATGTGCACAGAGCCATGCAATGGCGGCTTGCACAGTGAATATTTAGATTTAGATTAATTGATTCCGCTTAACTGGGGGG